GCGATCCTCCGCCTTCTTCAACAGCGAGCGTGCAAGCTCCAGCTTGTCCTCCTCGCACATCGAGCTCCCAATCGTGTGGCCCTGCGCCTTCAGAAACGTGTACGCCATCGCGCCACCGATAAGCAGGTAGTCAATGCGCTGCAGCATGTTGTCCAGCAGAAGGATCTTGTCGCTCACCTTTGCACCGCCCACAATCGCCACAAACGGCCGCGCCGGGCTACCCAGCACCTTCGCAAAGTAGGAGATCTCCTTGTCCATCAGGTAGCCCGCGGCACCGCAACCAAGCACCTTGGGAATACCCGTCATTGTCGCACTGTCACGGTGGGCAGTGCCAAACGCGTCACTGACAAAAACATCGCCGTACGACGCCAGAACCCTCGCCATGGCGTGACGCTCCTCCTCCTTCTTACTTCCCTCCTCATGGTAGAAGCGCACGTTCTCCAGCAGCACAACCTCACCCATTGTGAGACGACGTATTTCCTGTTCGGCGTCCATACAATCATAGGCAAAATAGACATGTTGGTTAAGTAGCTCAGCAAGGCGCACGGCAATTGGTCTGAGACTAAGTTCTTTTTCGTATCCTGTACTGAGAATGAGCTGTGAATATATACGTTCCTTATTTTCAGAAATGTAACGCGTTAGCAGTGTCTTTTTCTCCTCCCCTGGCAATCGTGTGAAGATAGCCGTTTTATCGGACCCCCCACTGAGTAAAAGATTGGAGGCTTCATCATTTGCAGTAGATAATGCCAAAATATTTGCCTTCTCCTCACCTGAAAGTGAGTCAAAGAAGGTGGTCATCCCGCTGCTGCTGTTAAGCATTCCCTCATGGTAGCGATTTTGTATGTATTTCTTGGCAGTCGTGTATGAGACGCCTTTGGGGCGGCCGAGATGACTCATAAGCACACATATGCCGCCTTGGTCAATCACACGACGAATTGTGGGAATAGCAGCTCGAATACGGTAGTCATTTGTAATCTTTCCATTATGAATGGGAACATTGAAGTCGACACGGATGAGTATACGCTTGCCTGCGAGCGGCCAGACGTCGTCCACAGTCCTCTTGATGCTTAAATTATCTTTCATTCCGGCAGTTTCTCAATTTTTTAAAAATCTTTTGTATGTGTTGTTATTGGGGGAAATTTGCTTCGGAAGTACCCCCTAACTTCCCTGCAGTCCTGTGCAACTGTGGCTCAGCGGTAGGCGAAAGGAAATGAAGTCAGAAGAGAAGCCAATACGCCAACAAGCCGCACACACAGATAGAGAGAGTGAGAAATGCCGTTCGGCGGGAGGCCTGTGGCACTACAAATGCAACACGTGAGGTGATGACACGAAAGCTGAGCAGTGTCCACGAGCGTCAGCAACTGCAGGCATAAAATAAAAGTAAAGCAATAACGTAAAAAGCATCATTGCTCTCGAAGCATTGTTTGTTTGTTGTTTCTTCCGTTGCCGCTGCATCGTTGTCCTCTCTTTCGCCGACGCCGTTCAGTCCTTCCACTTTTGTTTTTTTCTTGATATTTTTTTTTTGTCCTCCCCCAACTTCCCTCCCTCCCTCCGTGCAACTTCGCTCCTGTGCAACAGGATGCAAGGCGCGTGTCTCACCATGGAGCCGACCTCACACTCTTTTGGATGCGCTGCTCAACCTCCTGCAGCGCCGCCCAGGGAGATGCGGGCACCGTCTTCCCCATTTCCTGCAACATCTGCCCCTGTCGTACAAGAAGGACAAATACGGTCTCCTGCAGCATGCGCCCCTCCTCCTTCCCGAGGACTGTGTCTGCAGATACCATGCGATTCTCCAGCGCGGCCACGCCTCCTTGTAGCACCTGCACCGCCTCACCCGAGGCAGGGAGATACGGGGCGTTGCAGCCAAGAATGAGAGATGCCTCGGCTGACTGTTTCCCATTCACCTCACACGCCAACTCAAACGCGTACCGCAACACATCCCCGGCCCGCTCGTCACGAAGGAATTGCAGCAGACGGCCACATGCCCTCCCTATTCTAACCGCATCCACGTCCCTTTTCGCCGCCTCCCGGCTTACCCGTATAACTCTAAGCCAAAGTTCTGCAGGGGTCGGCAAATTTTCACCTTCATTAAGGGCAAGAAGAGTCGCACCGCGGTCGAAGCAGAGAAGAAGATCCTCGTTGAGTGGTATATGACGGGCATCACAGGCTTCGCAAATGGCACGGGTGTGACGCATCAGCTCATGTGCCATGCTGCTTCCAGCTCCACGCCAGCGACGCGGCCAGAGCAAAAGCAGAAATTTTATGCACACCTCCACACATGCGATTTCTGCCTTCTTGCGAAGTATCCGTGCAATAGAAGAATGCATTATAAGCAAACCCTCATCCCAGCGCTGGTCGCATATGCCTAACGCAGCAGCCTGCAGTGTAAACGCCTCCCCCAAGTCATCACCCAACAGGCAATCCACGGCAGTGTGAGAAACGCTACTGACGTCAAATAACGCAGTCATCACTAACACACGGGTGCTTCCTGGACGTTGCGTCTCAAGCACAGCAAAGGCAAGCTCCAGTAGGACGCCAAGCGCAAAAGAAATGCTCACTGTTCCTTGTCCATCTATCCCTTTGGCAAGCAACATCCGCTTTATTTCCTCCGCACTGTTAGAAGCGCTCTCCATCAAACAAGACGCTACACGCATGAAAAGCGGAGCGTGTCCAAGAGCAGAGAGGAGCTCGCCTAGAGTGCTAGAATTATCCACCTCCGGTAAATGTGAAAATTGTGCCACATCATTGGGCTGTAACGGTTGAACTTTTAGTACGCTCATCTTCGTAGAACATTCAATGGAGGCGCTACAGGTGAGCAGCGTGTAAACGTTCGCGTGCTCAGGGATAAGACGAAGCGCCGCATGTGGGTCATCGACGCCGTCAATAACCAAAAGCACGTCTTTTTTTTTTTCCTTCGACCCCGCATGGAGTGGAAGAAGTGAAATATCTCGGACGGCAAGTAGCCCTTGGCATCAAACCACCGAATACAGGTAAAGCGCCCACTCCGCCGCACTCGATCACAAAACTATGCCGCTACGGTGGACTTGCCGATACCCTCTGGCCCCGTAATGACCTGAACATGACGCCAAGACAAGAGATTCTGCCAGAGTAAAAGCAACTCGGCATCACAGCCCACGGCACAAAACATTGCAGGGGCGTTGAAAAGGCCAGGGTGCGCCGATGCTGCCTCCGGCTCCGGTGTCGACGCTGTAGAACCAAAGTTGATCATCGTGTGCTAGCCGAGGAGCCGCACACACCGGTGTCAAGACAAACGTCACATGATACCTCGCCCTCGTTTCGCGTGTATTCCTGACTTTACGTTATCCCGCCCTGACAAGACGACACCTGGCACGCCGGCGTCAAGTAAGGGGCGGACGGATGGGAAAACAAAGGCCGACTGAGAGCAAACGAAAGGAAAAGAGAATAAAAAAGCCAAAAAAAAACGTTATGAAAAATGAGCGGCCGTTGAGGAGCCCACAACAACTACAGCACTGCCGTTCGCACAGAAACCTGTCATTGACAAGCAGAGAAATAGAGAAGCAGCAATCTCCCGCTCCACACCCATCGTACTTAAAGAAGTATAAATTTGAAAATAACGATACGAGAAGGTACAACAGCAGCAAGAAACAAGAGCACACACATACACACAAATACAGGGGAAAAAAAACACAGCCATGGGACCTGTGGCATTCTGTCATTCATTCAGCCATTTTCCGCCCGTGTTGTCTTTCATTCAATGTCTCTCTCCCCTGTGCATGTGGCACCGCTGCTGACGTTGCTGCTGCAACAGAAACTAAACATATCCCACCGCCTCAATAAATAGAAAAAGTAGGGGAGTGTCACGGGCTCCATGCAACACCCTTCAAGCGGGTGCCTGGGTCCACGATCACGTTGCTCCAGTCTGCTGTCAACTTGCGAAGTTCACTTAACTCTCGCTCCCAGCGTTCTTGCGGGCGTTCTTTGGAATGACGCCCCTCCTCCGCCCCCTCCTGCAGTTGGTGTTGTGGTTGCTGCATCACAGATGCCCCGCGGGGCAATGTCGCTACCGGGTCCAACGCGTCGTGTGAGAGGACAAGTGGTGACCCTCCCTTCCACGTGGTCTGCACGCCTATACTGGCGCCACCTCTGCGGGAGTGCGGCCTATTGTGGGCAAATGTGGACGACAGCGGTGTGTCAGTGAATGTTTTTTTTGCCTCCTGCCACGTGAGTGAGTGCATGCTGACAAGAAACACACTGGACAATCGCGTCAAGTTTGAACGCATTCCCCCCACAAAAATTACATGCTCGCCAACCACCACTGCAGCACTGCCAGAGAGCGGTGGAGGAGACGCCGACGATGTTGATGATGATAACAACGTTTTTGTCTCCACGTGTGTCGTGACCTCCTCCCAAGCACCGCGTTGTACGTAAAGACGGTGTAAATCGTTAAAGTAACGAGTGGCGACGGAGCCGGCGCCGCCGAAAATGTACACGTAGCAACCCCACCGCCATGCACAGTGTGCTGCGCGTGGTGACGGTGTGCAGCTGCTCTCCAACACGGGCTGAACAGACCCCGTTTGAGCATCCAGAAAAAAAGTGTCACGCGATTCCATGTTTCGTGCGCGCGATACGCCACCAAAGAGACAGAGCAGCGGGCCGCCCAACGGAGTCAGCGTCGCCCCCCAGTAATAGAGCGGAGTGCTGAGTCGGATGCTTGTCCAGCACAGCGTTGTAAGGTCGAGGCGGTAGAGACAGCCAAAATCAACGGCCGGTTGCGCCTGTGAGGAATAAATATTGTAGCCTCCCACAATGTACATGGCGTTTCCCTGCACCGCGGCGGCGTGGTGCGAGCGGTTGCACGGTACATTGCCAGTACACTGCGCCGACTCCCAGCGGGGCGGCGAGGCCGACGTGTCAAGAATGTGAACGGCACCATCCGGCTCCATCTTTTGCGGCATCAGCGGTCGCAGCCTTGACGGATCACAAAAACGATCGGCACCCATACGCCGCAGCGTCGCCCCGTCGAGTCCGTCGGCCAGCGTAAAGACATTATACGTGTTGTAGTGAACATCGTTCAGCCCCACACTTGTAATGCCGCCAAAAACGACAAGCCGTGTACCGTGCAAGCAGGTAGAGTGGTACGCCCGTGGCGCTGGAATCGCCCCGTCACATGGAAGCTGTCGCCACTCAAAGCCTGGAAGCGTAAGCGTGAGCACAGACTCATTCAGACAAAATGCAGCTGTTTTACCGCCAACCACCACAATCAAATCGCCACACAGTGTGGCCGTGTGGCCCTCGAGGCCAAAGTCCATAGACGGACGCTGCAGTCCCGGTGAAAAAGACGCAAAGAAGAAGGAAGGCAAGATGAAAGAAGCCAGACACATAAATAAATATATAACAGTAAAAGTAAAAAAACAAACAAACAAACAGCAACAAACAAACACGCACACACACACACCAAATGAAGGCATCACGCGACACATTCACTCGCTTCTTCTGCTGCTCCAAGAGACGTCGGCAAGCGGAGATCGTCAATTATCCTTTTGGAGTGTACGACTTCCAAGGCGAATTGCCGTCAATGATGTGTCTACTGACGTTGCCGTCCGTTTCACGATCAAAGGTTTTCAGAAAGCGTTCGAACTGCTCATCCACACGCTGTGCTGCCAGCTGTTGTGCTCCGTCCTGCCTCGCATACTGCATCCTCGCTGTGTTGTGGTTTAGCGGTATTGTGACCTCACTCACAGCCCTTGCACACAAGCGATTCACATCATCGTTGCGTGCCTCCATGCTGTCACGTGCGCTCTGCATGTCATCTATGGCTTCCCGTGACGCACGCTCGAGTGCTTCCTTTTCCTTTTGAATGCCTCCTTCGTAGCCCAGGCTCATCTTGGATGGATACTTCCCCGTCTCTCGCCGAGCTCTCTCGGCATCCTTCACGTAGCTCTGGTTCATCTCCTTGTATAGCGTGTCTGCCTCCTTCAGCTTGGCGCTGCTGTAGGTGTTCATCGCCACGGCAACGTCACCGCCATCTTCGCTAAAGATCTTCGCCTGAAGCTCATGATTGTCCTTCCAATCCACAGGAGCCCCGTACTCGTCGGTGCAGGTTCCACGCACAAGCGCCCCATTTTCCCATATGCCCGTAAAAATGAGACGCGGTTCGTTTGCCAAGTACGTCTGCGACCCCTCCCCGTGAGCCCGGCCGTGCTCGTTAAACTCGCCGTCGTACGTGTACGTCGGCGTGAAGAGCTGGCCGCGGCGGATGCATCCGTCCAGAAACTCACCCAGGTACACAAAGCCGCCATCAAGCTTCATCTTGCACCCACTACCATGCAGCTTACCGGCAAAAAAAGTGCCCTCCTGCTCCGCCCCCGTAGCAAAGCGAAGCTTCCCGCGGCCGTGTGGTTTGTTGTCGCGAAACTCACCCTCATACGTGAAGTCATGCTGTGTGAGTTTCCCCCGCACAAACGCCTCATCCCGCAGTAGCCCCTCAAAGACAGTCTCAGTCGTGCCGTTGGGGATCCGCACAAGCCCCTCCACCAGCTCGTCCTCAGAAAACCGCCCCTTATAATACGTGCCGTCGGCCAGCCAGGCCTCACCGTCACCGTGGCGCTGCCACAGAGTGTTGAAGCAGCCGCGGTAAAAATCCCCGTCGTCCTCAAGTTCACTACCAGAGAGGGGAAATCCCTGCTCGGGGTCAAAGCGGCCACAAAAGACACGGCCATCAGGTGTTGTGGCGCGACCCTCGAGAAGAAAGTCGGGATGACGCGGGTTAAACGTGCCGCTAAGCAGCAGTCCGCTCGGTAGCCGCCGCGTGCAGGGGCACAAAAGACGCCTTGTGAACATCGCCACACCGCTTCCCCTTCGGTTTTTCCCCCTTTAAAAAGTCACTTCACCCGTTCACTCCTCAACGCCTCCTCGGGTTCGCTTGCAGCACAGCGGCAAAACAGCATGAGAAGGAAGAAATGGAAATGTGCACAGCCCCCATCGCGCCGCACGTGAAGGACGGGAAGGCGACCAAACAAACATGCAAAACAAAATGGAAAAAAAAACAAATGGAAAAGACACAAAAAAAAAAACGTGAGCCGCAGTCCGGAAGGGGAGAATGTACGTGTCGCCAGCACGCCGTGAAAAAAAACTGAAGACGTGCAACGAAGCTCAACCGGAGCCCACCTTTTATTAATTTGGTCTTGTTTCCTTTTGTTTGTTGTTTTCATCTTCATTTATTTCTTTTTTTTCTTTTTTGATTGGCTGGAGGGTATTTTTCTTCCCTCACATTATTTCATCTTGATTCGTCCTCGCCCACCTCCCCCTCCGGGCAGGTTTGAGGGTGAAGGTGTAACAACCTCCACCTCCGCAGACCCCCTCATCGCGGAGACGCACAGTTTACATTGCCATACACGCACACGAGCAGCGGGTGGAGAAGCATAAACGCCCCAAAATAAATAAAGAGAGAATTGATATACACGAGTAAAAAGATCTGAACATTGCAAGGTACAGAGAAAGACACGTACTATGGAAAAGAAAGCATCTGTGTGTGTGTGTGTGTGTGTGTGTGTGTGTAGGGGGGGGAGGTTAAAGAAAGCGGGGGTGCGTGAAAACATATATATATATATATTCACATACACCAGCCAGCCACGCTACTTCAAGGAGCTCGGCCGACCAGGATTACGGCGTAGGTCGTGGCAGAGATAACTGTACTTATACTTGATCTTCGGCTTTTTTTGGCAGGCCGAGGATACGGCGGCCGCACCACCACCAACACCACCGGCAGCAGCGGCGGGGGAAGCAACACTTATAGCCCCATTCCTTGCAATGGCCGCTGGTAAAATCGGTGACCCAACCGGAGAGAACTGCTTCAAATCCACCAGCGGCACGGGTGGAAATTCCAAAGAGCGGTTGACGCACAGTAACTGCACAGCAAAAAAAGCCCAGTACGCAAGGGCACTTGCGACGTGGGATTTGGGAAGAAGCGAAAGATGATGCAGCTCTGGTTTCAACATGTCCCAGCAGAGGCGGTAGAGCTGCGGAGTCGGAACCATGGAATCCTCAAAGCTGCGTATTTTGGCGTCCAGAGCATCTGACATTTTTCCTCGGAAGCGCTCTACAAGCCAATGATGAGGGTGCTGCACAGGATGGGTGGCTAAAAGCGACCCTACAACACTCAGCAAACAATGAAAGCGTGGTTCGGGGTGTGGATCTTGAGTAATGAGAAACTTTGTCATATCTGTGGCCCGTACTCCGTCAAGGGCATGTCGAAGTTCGTGGATGTAGTCTCTCTGCAACAACTCTTGTTCCTCCCTTGTCATGGCACGCCGGCTTCGTAGACTGCTTATCCCTGACAGACGTGCAGCCACAGCCGCGCGGGACACCACCTTGGCATCGGTGTAGTAAAGCCGCAAACAGAGTTCCGTGTAATCTTTCTCCTGCAGCTCCGAAAGAAGTGTGCGGTCACGCCGCAGCAACCCCTTCGCATCGCGTAATCCTGCTTGCGCCAGTTGACGTGTAACCATTGCAAGCGGGATACCTTGAGCCCCTTCCGGGAGCTGGGTTGAATTGTAAAGTCTCCGAAAGAAACGCTTTAGCACCTCCAATGGACGACGAGAGGCACGCAACTGCGCCCTCACCGAACAGCAGCTCAAGATGTTAATAACTTCCTCCTCACCACACGACAACGCCGATTTTACGAGGAGTGACGTCAAGTTCTCCAGTGTCATGGTGCGGGGATCGGAGAGCATCACGGTAATGAGAGCAAAAAAATCATTTTCACCATTGTCAAACGGCCCTGATTTCTCACGGTACTCTTCAAAAAGTTTTAAGACGTCTTGCGAATTAAATTGAGCTCCCAACACGTGCAAGACCTCTTCCGCAAAAACTGCAGCCGCGGAAGAGAGTTTTCGCCCCACAGACCGCGATGGTGGAGATCGATTGGGATTTACCACCCTAATATTCACCAGCTCTCCACTACGTGAGGCAGCCTTAAGCTGCATGTAGGCTTCGTTCTCCGTCAACTCCGTCTCTGTGCCCCCTCCCTCATCTGTCAAGAAAAACTTAAGGTCAGTTGTGGCGTCGCATCCCGCATCGTACTCTTCCAGGATCGCCTCTCGCAGATCCCTCAGCGCACTCTCCGGATGCACAGCGTACACCAGTACCACCTGCTGAGTACACCATGAGACACAGCACTGCAGCGGGAGACCAGTGGTGCAGGGGTGGCCCGCCCACAACACAAGACCAACCCGCCTGCGACCAGACTGAAGGATGTCTTTCAGCCTTTGACATGTATCCTCCTCAAAGCGCAGAGCAACGCCGTTTCTATCGTACACGTTCACATCATCGTCCATAGGAACATCCAAGGCAAGAAAGCACGCCGCACGAAGTGATTGCAGAACAGTTCCTGAGTTCATTCTCCAGGAGAAGGGAAAGACAACGTTTGAATCCCCAAACGCGCATTCGATTTCAATTAGCAGCCTTTCCTCAGTAACTTCTGTATTTGGCGTATTACAACTCTCTGAAGCCACCACAGCGGGAGCCTTTTCCTCCCCTACAAGCCTACATGGGCCCCCTGACGCCTCAACAGCAGAAGTTAAACGGGGCGGCGGAGCAACCGCATCACTCCTTGTCACTGGGACTGCGCCACTGGCAGACCGACGCCGCTCCTCTGACGCGTCACCCAAAACAGAGACCTTCCGTGCCGCGCTGACCACCAAAGAAGGATTATCGCCACCTACGCCACCCAACAGCTCACGATTGGGGCTTGCATCCTCCACCCCGCTACTAGAAACCAACGCTGCAATAGTACCCTTGGAAGGCCTTACCGACATCGCTGGCACATTGGCCTCATCTGTACGCTTCGCTGCTTCAGAGGGAGCATTGGCCTCATCCACATGCTTCGCTGCATTAGAGGGAGCATTGGCCTCATCCACATGCTTCGCTGCATTAGAGGGAGCATTGGCCTCATCTGCATGCTTCACTGCTTTAGAGGGAGCATTGGCCTCATCTGTACGCTTCGCTGCTTCAGAGGGAGCATTGGCCTCATCTGTACGCTTCGCTGCTTCAGAGGGAGCATTGGCCTCATCCACATGCTTCGCTGCATTAGAGGGAGCATTGGCCTCATCTGCAT